TCTGCAGAGGGGGGGAGGGGGGGCTGGGCTGCAGGAGGGGGAGGGGGAGGGCGCTCTGCAGGGTGGTGGGTCCGCTCTGGAGGGGGGGGGTGCGAAGCACTGAATTAGGTCAGCAATAGGTCGGAATTAGGTCGGAAATGAGGTCCCCCCCCTGCGCAGAGCGAAGCTTGAGCGAGCTCAAGCCCATGCTCCCAGAAACTCACACGCCGGATCGGCGGATTTTGGCGAATACATGCAGAAACCTTGCGGGAATTATTGATGCAGCCGGAAAAAATAGTGGTACCGTGCTTTCCTCCCCTGCCGCTGCCCGTCTGTGGTCCCCCGTGTCCCCCCCTTTCCCGTGCCCCCCTCTGCCTATTCCGACCGACCGGACCGTGCCCCCCCTCCCGACCGTGGCTGTCCGTGCCCTCCGCCCTTTTTCCCCCGTGCCACCTCCCGCTGCTTATTCCGACCGGCCGGCCGTGCCCTTTCCCTCCTGCCCGACCGTGGCCCCCCGTGCTTCCCCCCTTCCTCCCGTGCCGCCCCCTCTGTTTATTCCGACCGAGTGATATTCCGACCGACCGACCGTGCCCTCCCCGCCCGACCGTGGCTCTCCGTGTTCCCCACCCCTTTTCCCCCGCGTATTCCCACCGACCGACCGTGCCCTCTCTCTCTGCCCGACCGTGGCCCCCCGTGCTTCACCCCTCCCCTCCCGTGCCCCCCTTCTGCTTGAATTCCGACCGGCCGACCATGCCCCGTCCCTGCCCGACCCGTGCCCCCAGTTGTGCCCCCCTTTTTCTGCATATTCCGACCGGCCGACCGTGCCCTTTCCCCCTGCTTGGCCGTGGCTCTTGGTGCCCCCGCCCTTCCCCCCGTGGCCCCCGCCATCTGCTTAATCCAGCTGGCCGACCGTCCCCTTCTGCCGGACAGTGCCCCCCGTGCCTTCCACACTTTTCTCTGTGTTCCCCCCCCTCTGGTTATTCCGACCGACCGACTGTGCCCTCCCTTCCCCCTTCTGCTCGACCGTGGCTCCCCGCCCCGCCCTTTTCTCCGTGCCCCTTCCCTCTGCTTTTTCCGACCGACCGACCGCGCCCCCCCCCCCCGCTCCACCGTGTCCTCCCATGTTCCTCCCCCTTCGCCCCGTGCCCCCCCTCCGACCAACCGACCGTGCCTCCCCTGCCCGATCGTGGCCCCCCGTGCCCCCCTCTGCCCGTCCGTGCCCCCCCCCCCTCTGCCCATTCCGACCGACCGACCGTGCCCCCCCTGCCCGACCGTGGCACCCAGTGATCCCCCCATTCCAAGCGACCGACCGTGCGCCGCCCCAGCCCGTTTGTGACCTCCAGTGCCCCCCCCTTTCCTCCCGTGCGCACCCTTCTGCTTATTCCGACCGACCCACCGAGCCATCTCCTTGCCCGACCGTGGCCCCCCATGCCCCCCTTTCCCCCGTGGACCCCCCTCTGCTTACTCCGACCGACCGACCGTGCCCCCTCCCCTTGCCAGACCGTGGCCCCCGTGTCGTACATACCCTGTGCACCTCACCCATTGTGCATTCTCGAGTGTGACTGATGTGCAACTGTTGTGGCTCAGGCGTGCGCGCGTGGAGCAAAAGGGAGCTCCTCTCGTTTCTTCCAGTTGTCCCCGTCTCCATCCTGCCCCGACCCCGATCACACGAGTTCCGATGTTCGGCGAACAGTGGTAAGCGGAGCTGGTTCTGAGAGTGATCACGGACGGGCAGGAGGAGCGCAGGACAGAGAGATCGAGGAGGAGCACCCGGCGGCGACAGCGCGGACGCCACCCCAAGAAGACGCAGGGCCAGCACCACATCTAGAGCAGGAGGAGCACGGCGGCGAAGCGGCAGCAGCCTGGGGAAGACTGGAGCCGCTCCGGGGGGGGCCGTGACGCTGGGGAAGCTAGGCAGGCTGGCAGGACTGGAGCCGCCAGGATCCCTGGACCAACGGAGACCCGTGGTCTCAAGGGTCGTCAGCCAGCGCAGCTGCTGGCACGTACGCCACCCAGAGCGTGGGCGAGCAGCGCCCCACGAGCCCCCCCGCTCCCGCGGTGGAGCACGGCGCCGGCGCCGGCCGCGGCGACGACCGCGCTGGCCCCGCCGGTCACGGCGGCCGTTTTGCCCGCGGCGACTGCGCCGGCGGCGCAGGTCACGACGTCGGCTGCCCAGGCCGCGGCGCCCGCGGCGGCAGCGCCCCCCGAGGCTGCGCCGGCCCCGCCAGTCGCGGCGACCGCCGCAGGCGCGGTGGGCGTGCTCTCGGGGGCGCGAGCCGTTGGGGGGCATCTCAGCGGCAGCCTCCTGGCCCCCGCGGCTGCCAGCTCAGCCCGCGGGAGGCCACCAGCGGGGCGACCATCAGGGACCTCAACAGTGGCAGGGAGTCGACAGGCTCGACACGTGGATTCTGAACATTCGGAGGTGGTCCAGGAGAACGGCGTTATCCCTGGACGCTCACGCCGGGGGGGTCGTGGACGAGCTTCCGGTGGATCTACAGGAGAAGCTGACGCACATCCAAGAGGACTTGGACGCACCCGGTGGCCTCGACGCGCTGAGAAGTTATCTGAAACAGGCTCGCGGCGATCGCGAGGGCGACAGGGCTCGAGCGCGTGCTGGAGAACACGGAGATCCGCAGCGGTGAGACTCTGACGCAGTTCGTCCTTCGCCGAGACATGGGGGCGCGAGAAGCCCGCAAGTTCGGTCTGGATCTGCCGGAGAAGGTCCAGGTGGGGCAGCTGAAGGCGGGGGCGAGGCTGAGCGAACAGAACATGATCAACTTGATGCCCATCTCTCAGGGCCGCGAAGACCTGGACTCAGCGAAGAAGGCCCTCATGAAGATGGACGTGAAGCGCGAGGTTGACGCCGCCCGGAGGCCTGGCAAGACCTTCGCGGCGGCGGACGAGGGCGACGAATACGGGCGGGTAGGGGGCGAAGACCTGTCCGATCTGGTGCTTGTCGAGTTCTGGGAGGACACCATCCTGGATGAGGGCGACGCCGAGGCGGCGCGCGCCGCAGTGGAGGCCCAGGACGTCGAAGAGGAGCAGCTGGCCAGCATCGTCGCAGCCGTGCTGGATGAGAAGCGTGAGATGGAGAGGCGCCCGAGGAAGCGGGCGGAAGCCAAGGGGCTGAAGCGAGCGATGGCAAGAGATCGAGAGTTCCTCGACAGCAAGCGCGCCGGGAAGAAGCCAGCTCTTGGAATAGGTGCCGGAAAGCAGAAGCTGAGTACTGACGAGCTCAAGGCGCGCACACGCTGCGCGACCTGCGGGCAGCGCGGGCACTGGAGGCGCGAGTGCACCAGCGCCTATCGGCCCAAGCCGAAGGCCGAGGGTAAGACCGGCGCCCGTGCCTTGTACGTAACGACGGAGGGCAGTTCAGCAGCGACGTGGCTCTCGCTTGGCCCGGAGGTCGTCCAGAGGCTCTGCGGGTTGACCGACTCGTGGCGGCTGCGCGATGACATGGGGCCCTCCGGCATGATCGACACCGCCGCGGGCCAGGCGGTGGTTGGCGATAAGCGGCTGGAGCGTCTGGTGAAGGACTATGGCAAGCAAGGGTGGCGCATCCTCATTCGCTGGAACAAGCAGTCCAAGAAGGCCGGGGGCGTCGGCGGCAGCGCGGACATCATCGGAGAGGCCCTCATCCCGATCACGGTGGTCCCGGACAAGAGCGTGCTGATTCTGTTCCAGATTATCGCAGGCGAGGTTCCCCCGCTGCTGCCGGCGAAGTGGCTCGAGTCGGTGGGGGCGAAGATCGACCCGGGGCGGGGCGGATCCAGCTGGGCAACGAGGCGCTGCCCATGCGTCGTGGGAGCTGGGGGCATCGCATCAGGAGCCTGCTCGGCGATCTCCCACCTCGCCGTTCTGAGGTGGCCGCGTCGGCCGCCGATGGCTGGCGCGGTCTCGGGGCCAAGGGCTTTTGCGCGTGCGCAGCCCCCTGCCTCCTTCCCTCCGCTCTCCCCGCCCCCAGAGTTGTATGATTTGTAGGTTGTGTAGGATTTGTTGAAGTCCCGGCTGATCGAGGTCAGGTCTGGAGCCCGGCCGCCTCAAGGAGCTCTGGGGGCGAGGTCTTGGGGGTCGGGGCCCAGCTCCGGGAGCCAGGCCAGGTCGGTCAGGAAGGTTCTCCCAGGCAAGCCCGGAAGGCGAACCAGGAGAGGCAGGTGGCAGAGGAGGTCGAGGAGGCCACGCAGGAGGAGGAGGTCGAGGAGGCTGCCCAGGAGAACAAGGGAAACTGCAACCCGTCCGGGGACCTCCCGGAGGAGGCGACGTCGCTCGATTCATCCGTAGCCCTCGTGCTCGAGACCAGCGACGTTGCCTGCGGTTTCAGCTATCCGGTGGCTACTCAGGCCTGCGGGCCGACCCGCGATGCACTCCAGTTCGGTTCTCACGATGGCGTCGCCGGGCTCAGCGGGGCCGACGGGGCAGCCCGACTCGCCTTGCGCCGATCAAGAAGATGGGGTCGCAGCACGTCAAGGGGGCGGTCGCGAGGGAGATTCGTGCTTATCAGGCGCGTCAGCGCGCCGTGAGCAAGGCGCAGAGGCCGAGCAAGTCGAAGCCCATTCTGGAGAGCTCATGGGAGTGGGAGGCTGTCGGCATGATCACGGACGACGAGACCGACCAGGAGCAGGATCCGACCGCAGCCTCAGAGACCTTCCAGAAGAACTGCACGGCGGGCAGGACATAAGGGCGGACCGATGCTGGCCGCGTGGCATCGCGTGGCGGGTCGCATATTGCACGCGGCGACTGCCGGGATGGCCATGATGACGGCCAACCATCCCTGTGGCGAGATGGTGCCCGAAGCAGCTCTGGAGTGCGATCGCCCGCAGTGGGCAGGGCGCAAGGGGGCCAACCAGTGCGCGTGGCACGAGCACTGCATGAAGTGCCGGTCAAAGGCTGTGGCTCGAATGCCGCAGCTGCCAGGAGCAGATCGAAGTGATGGGCCGTGCTCAGCAGCGCCACAACGACCCGGGGGGGCGCAACCAGGCGAGGGCAGAGGCCGCGCCGCTGGCAATCAGGTCGGAGCGGGTCTACATCAAGGACGCGACGCCCAAGAAGAAGACGAAGCAGGTCGAGACGGCGGAGGAGGTCACTAAGACGATTGAGAACACCGAGATCGCCCGTGCGCTGCAGGAGAACAACCAGGTGCTTCAGCAGATGGCGGAGGCTGTGAAGATGCTAGCCGGCCGCGGCGGCCCGAGCAGCGGTCGCTGAGCCCGCCTGGCGCGACCAGCTTCCCGGGCGCTCCAGAGGTGGGGGAAGGACACAAGGGGGGCCTAAAGCAAGCGGGAAAGGGGACCCTCAGGAAAACCAGTGGGACGGGGGATCAGGGCAGGATCCCGCGTGGAGGTCGGCCTATGCTGCCGGTAGGACCACCCCTTTTCATTCTGAGTTTAAATCCCGCGCCGTCTGGTGAAAGGACGCTCGGTCGATCTCGATCGGATCTCGAAAGATCGCGGTTGGACTCGATCGATCCTGGGGGGAAACGAGAAGCGCAGGATTCTGACCGATGCTGCTATGCACCGCGCCTGGGGAGCCGAGGGCCCGATCGAGGGGTCCAGTCGGGAATGCGGGGGTCGGGCCTTCTAGGATGCGGTGGGCAAGTGCGCCCGTTTGAGATTCCTCGACGAAGAGATTCCGGTCCTCGACTCCCTCGCTCCAGATCTCGCGCCAGCCCAGTTACAGCCCGTCCTGAGCGGCGCGGCCAGCGACCACCTGACCATCGAGGCCTGGGCCGGGACGGAGGGATCCAAACCGTTTCAGGGCATCCTATCGCTGGGCTCCTTCCAGATTCCGATCGATCCGAACGTCGAGCAGGGCCATAGTCGAGGCTGCCAGTTCCCAAGGGGGTTCGGGGGGCGACCGGGGAAGTGCTGGCTGGCGCTGGGCGAGAGCAAGGGCGCGAGGCCCGAAAGAGGCGAATCCAGCAGTGGCTTAGGAAGGAGGGTCGCGCGTTGGCTCTGGAGCTTTTCTCCCCTCCCCGCGTCTGCAAGGAACTCCGCGAGCGGGGGTGCCCCGCGTCGGCTAGCGCGGATCTCAGCACCGGCTGGTGCCTTCTCTCGGAGAGGGGGCAGGCCGAGGCCGAGGAGGCCGTGAGACGAGATCGCCCTGAAGTTGTTGTGATGAGCCCGGAGTGCAAGGCTTTCGCTGCCCCCCGCCAGTCAGCCCGGTCCCGGATGTCCCCGGGGCGTCGAGAGCAGGCCGAGAGAAGGGGGATAGCCGCCATGCGTTTCTGTGTCAAAATAGTTTTGCTCCAGGCTGCCAGCGGCAGAGCGTTGGAACATCCCAGAAGGGGGCGTGTTCTTGGGGGCTGGAGTCCATTCGCGTCCTCAGTCAGCTTCCAGGTGCGGTGGTGGGAGAGCGTGATCAGTGGCAGCGCGGTCTGTCGGCGAACGGCTATGAAGCCAACAAGAAGCCCACCCGTTTCCTGAGCAACCGACCTTCACTCGTCGCCCCCGGGCCCCTCCTTCAAAAGTGCCCAGGGGAACGCTCCCACCATCGGCTCGTGGGGGGGGGGCGGCGACGCGCGAGGCCCGGGTTTGCCCTCTCCCGCTCGCCTGGGCGATGTGCGAGGGCATCCTCGAGACAGCCCACGCCCGGGCCCTCGGCCACTCAGGTTCTCGAGCCGGAGGTCGACTGGCTCCTAGACCACGGAGTCGAAACCGACCTCGCCGGCCTCGTCGGGGCCGTCGAGTCGGAGCCCGCGGACTCGTCGGTCGAGGCCGAGGTTCAGGAGGAAGAGGAGGCTGAGGAGGAGGAGGAGGGCAGCAGGTCGGCAGGAGGAGAGGAGGAGGCTGAGGCAGCAGGATCCTCTCTCAGTCGCGAGCAGAAGAGTTTGGTTCAGAAAGTACACGTCAACATGGGGCACCCGCCTCGCGACGCGTTCGCACGGCTGCTCACGGTGGCCAGAGCCAGACCAGCTATCATCGATTACGCGCGGCGTGAGTTCAAATCCGAGGCCTGCGAAGGCAACGGGCAGTCCTCCTGGAGGCGTAAAGCAGCGGCCCCTCATACTTACCACTTTAACCGTCTGGTCGCAGCGGACTTGTTCTATCTGAGCGTCCTGGGCTCTCAGGTTCCGGTGCTTAATGTGCTCGATCACGCAACGAGCTTCCAGCAGTGCTATGTCTTGCCCATGCGTCGTGGGGCCTCGTCGACCAATGTCTGGGCTGCGTTCGGAAAGACTTGGGTCAGGGTCTTCGGGGCCCCTGAAGTCATCATGGGTGACGGGGGCCCGGAATTCCAGGGCGCCTTTGAGCGCGGCTGCGAGCGCCTCGGGTGTTTCCAGCACGTTTGCGACGCCACAAGCCCGCGGCAGAACGGGCGATGCGAGCGCCGCGGCGGGTGGATCAAGGAATCGGTCGCTCGCGCGTCACTGATCGTGAACCCGACCACGCCCGAAGAAGTCGATCTGATCCTCTGTGAGACGGTGTCTGCAAGGAACCGATGCTTCCATAGGTCTGGATTCTCGCCGTGCCAATTAGTGCTGAGAACCCTCGTCTCCTTAGGGCTATGCTAAGTGACGGGGGCATGGGCGCCGCCGGGGCGGAGGACGCCCAGGCGGACGTCGACGGACGGGACACGGTGGCAGGCAAATTCGCTAGGGAACACCGGATCACATGGCCGGCGAGGCTCAGTCGAGGCTCAAGGAAGCGGCTCGCTCGCGTCAGCACGTTGATCGCGTGTTTCTCCCGGGGCAATGGGTTTTCGTCTGGCGTCGGGCGGTGGGCCTGAAAGCCCGCGCGATCCAGAGAGATCGGTGGGTGGGCCCGGGGGCGGTGGTGGCCCATCGAGGGTCCACTGTTTGGGTGGCCATGCGCTCCAAGTTGTGGAAATGTAGCTTGGAACATGTCAGAGAAGCCGCGCGAGCCGAGTCACAGGGGGCGGAATTGATTGACAGCCCTGAGTTCCGCGATTCGCAGGAACGGGTGCGCGACCCAGGTCGCAAGGCGGGGGCTCTAGACGTCGAGAGCGAGGACCCCCCCCGAGGAGGTGTGGGACACCCCGCATGAGCCAGCGAGCCTCTCGCCCGAGCCGGTCTTTGACCCCCCCCCCAACGGACCCTGTTGCGAGTAGGTCTCTGGGCGGATGGATCACGGCAGGTCTCGGCGACGGACGGGGGGCGGCCAGTTTCAGACCTCGCGCGCGCCCAGGCGGGTCTCGGCCTCGGAGGGGAGGGCGCTGGGCCCCCGCGGGCCCCCGCAGCGGATGCGGTCGGTGTCGGCGGGTTATCGGAGGCTGTGCCGCCCTCTCGCCCGCCTCTCGCCTTTCCCCCCTGCCCCATAGGAGGGCGCCGCCCCCGGCCACCCCTCGGTGCGGGGCCGGTCGGACTCGTTGCCAAGGCGGGAGTCTGAAGGATCGGATCGCTCCAAGCAGTCGCGCGAGGCTGCAGCTGCTGAGAGTGAGCCCCCTTGTTCCAGGCGTCGCGGTTTGAGTCCTGTTCGAGAGGGGGCTGCGGACCAGCCCCGAGCGTATGTCTGGGGGGGGGAGCCGCTTCGTTCGGTTTCGATGCCCAGCGCCTCTCGAGAGGGGGCCCAACGAGGGGGCCGGAGGACGTGCCTCGACGGGCGGGGCCGGCGGACGGGCTCGCACAGAGGAGGTGGCGGATTCCTCGGTCGCCGAGAGGGTCCGGCGCTGGGGGCAGGGGGGCCGGCCCATCGGCGCGGATGCTCCAGCACCGATCGTCTCTCGTGGTGCAGCCTGGCGACGGGGACACGGAGGATCCCCCTGTTATCTGCGCCTTGGCCCCTCGGTCTGGGGAGACCTTGGGCCCGGCGAAATCGACGAGCAGGGCCGGTCTCTGCTGGGCGAACTGTTCGGAGGTGTTGAGGCCTGGGGTGACGGCGCGTGGGCCACCAGCCCTGCTGGCGGGAGTCCTGGAAGCGGCGGCAGTAAGCGAGGCCAGGAGGTTGTCTGGAGTAAGCTGTCTCAACCAGAGCGCGAGCAGTTCAAGACCTCAGACTCGGAAGAATGGAAGGTCATCCTGGACTCCAGGGCTGTTGGGGCCCTCTCCCCTGGGCTTGCGAACCTGGTCCGCAGGCACTCGCCCTCTCGTATCCTCTCATCCAGGATGGTTCGTCGCTGGAAGCCACAGGAGGGGACCGACGCTCTCACTGTCCCCAAGAGTCGGTGGTGTGTCAGAGGATATGGCGACCCAGACGCTGAGAGTTTGGCCGTCTATGCACCCGCGCCCCAGGAGGAATCCATTGCCGTGGCTCTCCAAGTGCTTGCCGGGAAGGGGTGGGAGGTGGTCTTCGCGGACGCGAAGAACGCCTTCTGCCGGGCGGACCCCCTTTGGAGGCCCGCTGGCAAGGTGCACTGCGAGCCTTGCGACGGGCTGGGACTGCCCCGAGGCAGCCTCATAGAGCTCGGCGCGCCCGTCTACGGACTCAACGATGACGCGCCGATCAGATGGCACGAGACGCTCACGTCACATATGTTTTCCCTCGGCTTCCGGCGATGTCTGCTCGAGCCGTGCGTCTGGCGAAAGTATCGTTCCGACGGGGCCCTGCGGGCTCTGGTGGCCATTGAGTTGGATGACTTAGTCCTGGGGAGTGAGCCAGCGTACGAGTCGGAGCTGAAGCAGTCTCGATGGCTCGCTTCCACTTCGGCAAGTGGCAAGAGCGAGAGGCCGACTAGGCCGGCAGGCGCATCCAGCAGCTTCCAGACGGGAGGATTCTCATTGAC